ATGGAATTTTGCCATCGGCAATAAATGATTTTTCTCTGATTAACTGATGCAAGAGTAAATTTTACAATTCAAACCCAAGTTCAAGCCCGAGTACACCAAAGGAGTTTAAGAGAAAAAAATCAAAGACACAAGCTCTGTTGAGCATGTCACGCTTGGTGAAATTCAATAAATTCGCGGGAATCCCGATAGGGAGAATTCCTAATGCGCTTGAAACTCAGAGAAGACGACAGCATAGTATACAGTAAAAGGGTGAAAAAGAGACGGTAAATTTATATAAAAGAAAAAGAGACAGACATCGGCAATGGCACAAGCAACCTCGCATTCGTACACGTTTTCCCTGAGTATACGAGTTCTCTTATTGGCAAAGTCGACAACGAAGAGACCAAGAGATGCTTCCCTAGAATTACCAGAGAATATAGAAGAAGATCGGAAAAGAATATTCAACAACGAAATAGTTAATAGAAACTCTCTTCACTGCAACTATTCCAACATGTACTGAGTTTTAGTTGAGAGAAAAGAGAAATAATAAACGGGGGATATGATGGAAACCAAGACCTCATTTCATTCCAAGAACAACCTAGACTCTCTGTATCTCATGCGACTTGGGGAATCGATTCATTTGGAATATATTGGACAACTATCGGTCACACGCAGTGCTATGTGCACTAACCTATATACTCTCATGTGTATGTACATATAGTAGCTCAATTCTCACGACGTTTCTCTATGCCAAATGCACCGAACAATACCTAGCTAGTTTGACTATCATTTGACAGATATGCTCTCGACTTGAATACCAAGTTCAACTGTTGATGACCTCAAACTACTAATTATATGAATGAGAGCTGATTGTCTACCAAAAATACACTTTGACCTATTTCAGACTTGCTGATTGTGCCTATACAAAGAGGCAAATGTCCCTCCTCCCATTGAAGAGTATTTATATATACATTTTATATCTATTTGAATTATTATTCATAAAAAAGATATTTCTAAAATGAAAAATTGTAATATTCATGACATAAAAGGATCAATAATATTAATACTTTTTTGTAATCCATGAATACTGAATATCGTTTTTAATTAAAGAACTTTAATTTTAGTAGAAAAATATGAATATTTACATAAATTTAAATTTAAAAAATTCTATACAAATTAATCCAATTTTAACAATTAAAGGTACTTTACTTAACATAATTTATTAAAATTTTTACGTGCAACTTGAATTTTGTACAAATTTATAAAATATGTAAAATATGAAAAACTTCAAAGTAATCATTTACAAATTAAAAACCATGCATAAAGGTTAAATAAATAAAATTCTTTAAATTCATAAAGCTTGATAAAATAATACATTAAAAAATGTTTTTATTCAATAAACACATAAAGCCTGGGATTTAATTTCAATGTATAATTAAATTTGAAACAGTTATATATATATTGAAACAATAATAAATATTAATATAACAAAACCTTTAAATTTATTGAAAAATTAATGTAAATACTATTAAGCTCAATACAATCAATTTTTCTATGTAAAAATTTTATTCATCAATTGAACAATAAAATCCATTCGATTATTATTGTCATTAATTTTAAACTCTGCAAAGGTTTAATTAATTGAGTGAAAACAGAGTAAAGCTTTACCTCTTTAATGTAAGCAAAGTCTAAAAGGCATCAGCTTACAAAAGATAAGTGTGAAAAAGTCACGGTAATCGATAGTGCCCTAGATAATAATAAAGACTATATAGTTTGTTCCTTATTAATGAACTTCATTCTTGGAATTCTTTTTTTCATTTTTAATTTGCCCTAGGCAAGTTAAATGAACTCTACTCCGCATGTAGACAAAGTTGAATTCAAAAATATTTATTATTCATCGAGATTTTCTGATTGCAACTCTAGTTTGAAAGGTCAGAAAACTTTATTTACAGTTTAAATATAAACATTTTATTGAAGTTCAATTCATAAAACTAGTTATCAAGTGTTAATAAATTATTTTAAAATCATTCAATATATCAAAAATGAAATGAAAATTATTATGATTAAATAAATATTATACTAGAGAAATTACAAAAATTAATTACTAAAATAAATTGATGAATTAATTAATCAAAATAAAAAAAAGGGAATTTAAAGAATAAAATAGAGTTATCAAGAATTTATATAAAGAAATGAGAAAAAAATTCATTGCAATCAGTTAACTTGAAGATGCCGTGATAGCAGTGTGGTACACATTTGGACGAGAGTAAACTTTTAGCCACGACAGTTGCTAAAGTTTTAGGTCTATTAAAGAATGGAGAAGTGACTTTATCGGGGGCAAAAAAAAGTTTAGTTGCACGATTGAAGTGAGTAAGTTGAAGCCACAAATAAAGACAACGTCTATATAAACTCTGTATTAAATTACACGTAGTCTACACATATACTAAAGGATATTTAATTACAACACAATAGAGTAGTACAACAGTCATTTATTTTTGCTTTGCATACTTCTCTCCTTCTATCTACTGTTAATGAAAATTCACATACAATTTCTCTTTGAAATTAATTTTCCTTCACTTTTCCTACTCTATTGTTCCGCAATCACTTTGATAACAATTCACGCTGTTGTATGCATTGAAACATTATAAATAAATGTAGAAAAGACTTTATTAGTTTCAGAGTTTTTTAATTTATTCATTTTTTTAAAACTCAAATTTCATATTGGAATTTAATATTGAGTTTTGATGAAAAAATTGTATATAATTTTAAATCTATTAAGAATAATATCTGTTTGAAAGAATAAATAATTGAAAAACCAATTTTTTCATTTCGTTTAATTGATAAATATTTAAATAAGATTGAAAGCTGATAAAAAATTGATTTCTCAATCCCACTGGTATTTTAAAATGAGATAACTCTGGTTTTAGTCTTAATTTAAATAATAAAAGCACATTTTCTTTACTTCTCATCACTCTATTGTTATACAATCACATTAATACAAGTATATATAACCAAACTAAATCCTATTCACAGTTTGCATTTAAACGTGACAAGCACGGCTATGCACACATTATTCTTTTTATTCTTTGCATCCCGCGAGACTACCCTTGTCACTAGTCGACACCCTAAATCTCATCTGGCCTCTCCCCTATGACTTCCAAGACGTTCTATAAAAAAATCTCAATGGCTTTAGGGAGTTTAAAAAATTTGAGGGGGTTCTGAACCTGTCACGACTCTTTTAAAATTTTTTCCTAAACCTTTTCTAGCAAAGTAACGAGTTAATTGTCTTGAGATTTTTGGATTCACAAAGTGAAGCGATGTTGATACGATGTGAAAAGCAAATTATCGATAGCGGCTCATTAATGCATGAGGAATCGCTTCATTTTACACATCCACTTTGCCTCTCGCTGTCGAGTTTTGTTGGGTAAAAGAGGTTTTTTATTTAGTATTCAGTATATCTATGGTCAAATGAGGCAGTAGCCACGACACAGTGGTTTAGTAGCAGAGCAGCAGCAATCAACTCTCATATACATATATACACATACACATATGGATTCTCCTGGCCATTTGCATGAAACAACTCTCGTCATAGCTTTATCGTTTTATCCAATCGAATATCCCTCTCCCTCATTTCACGCAGGGGTTAACTGGATCCGGCTCGTGATAAAAGTAAAATCGGAAAAACATGTTATCCAATGGGCAAACTATTAGATTGTTGCAAAAAGACTATGATATTTTAATTACACGATCAAATATTGTTTTACAAAAACATTGCTCCAAAAATAATCTCATTACTCCGAAAATTTATTTCCAATTGTTTCCCTAAATATCTTTTATTCAACACTACACTATTTTAACTCCAATTCTATTATTCAACTTTACGAGAAAATAATATCTTAAAAAGTTTTTAATTATGATAAATTACAGTTAAAGTTCTTTTTACATTTACTTTGAGTGCTAATAAATGATTCAAAAAGAATTTCGAATATTCTAATATTCAAACTGATTTCCAGGAATTCAATTAGATCAACAAATGTTTTCAAAGACGAATGATGATAGAGAAATTACGAAGAACTCACGAGTACCTTGATTCTAGGAATGAGAATGAAAAGTAAATAAACAGAAAAACAGTTGAAGGTATACGAGCGCAGTGTTTACATCAAGAAATGTTATATTCGCATATTGATGAATATTTTCAACTTGATTTGGTAAACATTTAGCAAATTTCATTTCAAATAAATGCAATACAAACGATCTAATATTTCGTCATAACTAGTTTTAAATTCATTCATTTCTGAGAATCAATAGATAACTTTGATTGCTTAGAAGTTTAGCTGATTTCAACGATTAAAATTAGATCGAAAAATTCAATAATAATGAAATAATGAAATAATAAGAATATATGTATTATGTCTTTGTGTGAAACTATATAAATAGTGAATCCAAATAAATATTTATCTATTATTTATAATTCATTTACGTGCAAAATATCCCATGATATTTAGTTACTTTTTAAATAAACATACGTTCCATTAAACTGTCCCTCGGACAACATTAGAACCCTCCATACTTCTTACTCTGTTCAAACATTTAACCTTCGTCATGTACGTTTTTATCGTCATCACCGATCGTCGTGGTGTATTCCAGGATACGCTGAAACGTACGAGTCACTCTCGAACCACACAAAACCCCCAGAGTTGTGATTTGTGACAACAAAACTTATTCATCCTCTCACTAAACTCCATACACCCCCTTTCCCACCCCCTCATTCTCATCTATATATAGCAATACTAGACTGCAAACTCCCCTAATGGACCAACACTTGAGAGAATAAAAACATAATAGGGTAAGACCAATAGATGAACACAACCCAGAAGATCGACAATTTGCGAAAATTAGAGATTAGTTTCAATTATGATAGTTATAATTAATTACAAGCTCCATATTATATATAATTACTCCAATATCTTTTAGCGGTTCATTTAATCGATCTTAACAAATAAAAATCATTTGAAACTTACCAATTGTTGAGCACAATAAAATCTTCGGTTGGCAGAGATTCTCACAAGCGCGAAAATCGTTTAATCCAACGTTCAGGTTCACAGTAAAAAATCCTCAGGAATAAAAACTTAAAAATGGCTTAGCGTGACACACACAGGGAACACTAGAATGCACTCTAATCGCACGGCACTCTTCACCCAAGTTTACAAAAAATTTGTATATTTGTATATGTATTACAATAATTTTTTAAACTTTCTTTCTTGTGTATATATTCCACGAATTAAAGAAGAGACATAAGTAACGGAAAATCACGACACACACGCTACTTACTCGACTTTAATTGAACGTATTTATTTATTAACAGTAACATCCATGTAAAGGGTACGCGACAAACTAAAGCGTCTACTGATTGAGGCTATAAAATAATAAGTAGATAAATTCACTGGTTTATCGAGCAATAAAAACTATCGCGGTATTTTTAACCCGGTACGGCGGCCATTTCTGTTGGTCAGTGGCAATGTTTTAATCGTAACGTGCGTTTAATAGCCGGTACAGACGAGCGTAAATCCACCCGCTGCGAGGCCCAAGAGGCGACTGATGCGAGCGTGTTTCGGCCAATCCCCTTACGCCGACGCCGCCGCCATCTTGCGATGTTCGCAGACGACACAAAGCCCGAAAACTGTCGGGAACTAACGGAATTAACCGATCCTTGAAGGTGCTACTCCGAAGATGCCGAGAATCGACGCCGCACACTTTTTCGTGGCGATGTACAAAGTATTCAAGCAGCCAAACAGAGCAGCGAAAGGAAAAGGAAGAGCATGTGTATAAGGTAAGGATTCTATCGCGTGGCTTCAACTAAAGGTCCTTCGTCCTTCAGGCAATGCTTTTATCTCCATCTCACTTTGTTCTTCTCCGTCTCTGGACTACCTACTTTTTCGGATAATTATACAGCCAGTTTCTTATTATTTCTTTTTTATTATTATAATGTTTCAGGTGCTTCAATCCTTGCTCGATTTATAATCTGGGCTCAAGGTACAACGTGATGTACGTTGAGAAAAATAAGTTATGTATTTTTAGAGTAAGAAAGGTTTTATTGTGATGAAAAATGAGACTTTTTTTTCGAATGAAGGCTTGATTAGACAGCAGATGTAATTGTTGGAAATGAGGTTGGGTGAATTAGAGATATAAGGAGATACGGAAGGTAGGTTATGACATATTACACGTTATTTTATCAAATTTTTAATCCTCATTTCTTTAGTAATGAAGGTTATTATTTTACATTAATTATCTATTTTTTTTTTAGGTATGTCAAAGGTTTATTTATCAATCAAACTAACTTTATTTACTTCAATTTGCTAGATTGAATGGTAATTTAAATTTTTCAATTAATCAATGATTATTTGAGTTTGAATCTTGATGATAATTTATTGAATTCTTATTGTAATAAATAATAGTCTAAATGACTGTAACAGTGCAAGTGACGTAATTGAAAAGGTTATGATTGTAGATTATTGATATCTATTTTTGAGCAATCATCTTAGATTGTTTGCTTAATTTTTATAAACAATATTCTTTTATGCTATTTTTATGGGAAAATGAAAATTTCATAAACTTTTATTATAAACGTAAAGTAAAAGATATAACAGTCAATATTTGTTGAAATAACATTGAAAAAAGGGATTCGATATAAAAATTTTATGATACTCTTTGATAATAGCGTTTTCAACAAGTTTATGAGTTATAGAATACAATAGAAAAATTTTATTAAACCTTAAAAAATCTTAGAAATGACGAAAATTGCTAAATATTCTTAGTAATTTTTTCAGTGACATTTTTTATTCACTCTAGTAAATCATAAAATATCTTCATTTCCATTTTTACAATTTTTCTGCTAACAAATTTAAATGAATCATCTCCAAAAGTCAAGACATTAAAACATTCGTTTTTAAAAATTAACAATGTATATCATAAAAGTAAAGTCAGGATAATTTATAAAAAAAGCATAAATGAATTGAATCCAAGTATGAAATAATATTTATACAAAATGACTTAAAATTTAAACCAACATGACAAGTATTATTCTGTTTCGAGTATCCTTTGCATAAAACAGTTTCAATGCATAGTCAAGAATAATAATGTTTATTATTATTCAACTTGTTTCTTTTTTTCTACTCGAGGTTAATTTCTTGGTTGATTCTTGTAAACTGTAAAACTGTTTACACAATGTTTAACACGCTCATATCCGGTGGATCGTCAGGCCAGAAGTTCACATCTGGAGCTTGTTTCAATAAATAAACACGATATTCCTTAGCAATTTTTTTTTACAATTTACCATGATCTTTCTGAGGATACTCCCGGGCTCGAAAAGAGTCTTGAATCTTGAGCATTGTTTAAACACTGCCCGGGGAGTCTTGGCTCGAATCAAGACCACCTCCTGTGCGTGTTTATATGACGCTTCTCCATGCGTCTTCTCTCTTATCTGGTCTTCTCTTTCCATATTCCTAAACGTCTATTAAATCAGCGCAATTAATTCACCCGAGTAATTTAGAGCGCATCAACGCCATATGGAAATTTTCATGGAAATTTCTCGCGTGGCTTATTGGTCCCCGGAGGGAGGATCATTACCTTCTTCAGGTTAATTGTTTCTCTCTTTTCGAGATTCGGCTCTTGCGTGCACTCCATCCTGGATGTATGATTAAATACCCAAGCTTATGAATATATATGCGCCCCGTGCTCAGTATATACATATAAACGTATTAAGTACATATGTATTAGCTAACTAAATGTTAAATGTACATATACTCAACCTCAATGACCTGACGAGAGAATTTCTCTGGCCTCTTTCTCTCTCTTTTACTGGTTCTCTCTCTTCAAAGAATCTTCTGTGAAGTTCGATTTCATTATACCTACCTTCCTATCTCTTGAAAGATTTTATACTTCCATTTTTTATGCGAACTTACCTTTGCAAATAAATTCGAAGTATTTAAGTTCAGTCACGCTCCTTCCTTCCTGGAGAATCTTAGCGTGTCGTCGTATTCAAAGTGCACTTGATGATGGCCTTCATCCCAGCTCGTTTATCGATTACTTTTTTTTTAACACTAACATTATTCGTCTAGTCATAACGAAGAAGAATATCCATACTTGAATAGCAGTCTAGATGGTTAGGTGTATTATTTTTGAATTAAACAACTTTAAGTGTACCAATGTTGGACTATATTTATCCATCTGGAACATATGTATCCGTTTAGAACAGAAATTTTTGCCCTTAATTCTATTTCTTATCAAACTCGAAGTCTTTCATTTTTTACTGTTATTGCTTGAGGATTATAATAATTATTATAATGATGGTTTTAATTTTATTATTGTTAGCATGGATGTAATATTTTATTCATAAGTGATGCTTATTGGATTAGTCCCTTTAGGATTTATAAAAAAAAACTGATGACAGCTCTGAAAAAAATCAAAAGAGGCTTTCCACTAGACTTTCAAGTGGTTGCTTAACGGTAGTGCTTCATAGGCATCTCGGCCATTCATTAAAAATTGATAACAGGCGATGTTCAAGCTTGGAAAATTCTTGACATACATATATAAAAGACAATATTATCCTACCATCATTCATTACAGTTCTTGTAATTATTTTCAATGATTAAACTCGTTCATAACTAAAGTAATTATTATGGAAAATAAAAAAAAATTCTGCTTTTTAATTAGATATTTTTTCATCTGTTGATATTAAATTGAAAAATTATACTTTAATATAAATCAACAGTCTAATAAATTAAAATCAGTAATCAGATAAAAATAAATTTTGCTAACAAAAGACCAAAATTGCTGACCTATTCTCTTATTTGATGTAAAGATAATATTGTTTATTTGTTTGTTGTAAATTAAATTTTTGGTATAAAATATGAAAATAGAAAATTTAGGTTGTCACTTAAATTCAATATAGTAACAGTGAGTCAAAACAACATTGTTTTCAAAACATGCTTTTTATTCAAAAGTAATTCATACATGTAAACTAATATTCCACACAATGTAATTTGTATGATTGGCAAAATGAAATTGAATACTTATCAAACTATCGTTTAGCATAATTTCTGAATAGAATTTATTAGTTAATATATCAAGTCTATTTTAGATGGTAAAATATCAAAGTTTACCCAAAATTGTATAGATCAATTTCCAACTAGTTTTGAAAGAAGGAAAGGAAATTAATTATTTTCTAATTATTACAATTTATTCATTAAACTGAATAAAAATAATTTTTTCCTCAGTTTATAAAATAACATAAATAAAAAGAAACATCAAATAATTTATAATTTTTCAACTTCAAATACCAGAAGCAATGGTTTTTGATTAAACAAAAGAACAAAAACTTTCAACAAATCTTTTTTTGTAACTTTTTGAAATAAAAACAAAATACCACTAGCAAAAAAGTCAATTCAAAAATTTAAAAAAATTAAACCTTTTCATACTTCAATATTCTTCTCAATTTGACTTTCATAGTATTAAAAATAGAATGTAACCAAAAATTTCAATCTCACCCATAGAATTTTGCCCTTCAACCATTTTTACCAAAACCTGTCAAACAATGAACCCAACACAAATGACTCAGCACTTTATTTACAATATTTATTTCCAGAGTTGCATCCACCAATTAACAAAGTTTGATAAATAAGCAAATAAAAGCAACTTTGCAACGTTGAAAAGGGATTGAACAATGATGAATACGTTTCGGCAGACAGTATAAATAGGCATACCTACATCTATATATGGGTATGTAGTTATGCATCGGAAAACTGGATAATGCTAATTCTCAATTTTCCCAGCTTCTTTCGCATCGTCAAGCGCTATCATCGTCGTGAAATCGAGTCTGGAAACAGAGGAAGAAGAGCAAGAGGAGAACGAGGGAGAATACTATCTCTTGGGCCAATGTATTCCTGTCTCTATCTTTGTTAGCTCTTTTGCCACAAGAAGCAGCACAGGCTTGTTTGGGCAGAGCTGAGTACGAAAGCATAATAAGCGAATATGCCAAGCAAGTAAACGAGTGACTCGTAATTCCGTGGTATAGGTATTTTACTCCTTATTTAATAGAATGAACCCTCGGAGCAATATCGTCCAACCGGAAAAACTCATCGGAAACTATAAAAAGGCTTAATTGAAGATGGATTAATAAAAAAAAGAAATTGCTAAAATTCCTTTAATGAAAAATAATCGCAAATCTTCCTGTTAGTTTGGCCTAATTACTGTTGCTATAATGCATTGGATATGATAGTGTACATATGTATACATTAATGAAAAGGAAACAGTTAATTGTAATTGATCCAGCAAAACTCGTGGCCAGTTATGGTAAATAAAAGTTAAATAACCCACTGCACTTTTACTGCACTCTGTACATCCGTTTGTAGTGTAGAATAGAATACAGCAGATGTGGTCATTATTTCGGGTACTTACTATGTAGCTATTTTTTCATTTCTTTTTCAATTTAAGTTTTAAGTACGTGAATAGGAAAAAATTTTTCAGTAATCCTCTCAACAGTGTTAAATAAAAACAGAAAGAGTGCAGTCGTATTATGGAAAAGTTACACATCGAATCTGATACTTTTTAAATTAGATCATAAAAAAGTTACATCGCTCCATCGTGTACTTTTTTCCGAGAGTTAAATTCACGAGGGTCGTAGAAATAGAGCAACTTTTACATAAAATAATGTCGTCCCAATTTTTCGTTCGCATTGCAGTAAGAATCAGTTGCTTTTTGTTGAATGAAATATTGTTTTTTTGTTTAAATAAAATTTATTTTTCATCATTAAAAATTTATTTAAAATTAATTACATAAATTTTCAGTGTTATTTACAATAAATAACCTTTCAGTAAATTAATTTAAATTATTATCAATCAAGCAAATAAATTGATTATTCAACTTCTGTAATTAACAATAATGATGATGATTATCAAAAAATTCTTCTGCCTTTTACAAAGTATTCAAAAATATTAAATTTCAATTAAATAATATTCATAAAATAAATTTATCAAATTTGATTAGTGTGTTTACAGTAGAAATCAATCTTTATTATTTTACTGCAAATAAATCCTGTTGGAGATCAAGATTAATTAGTATTTACACTTTGTAGAAAATGAAGGTTTAAATGCAAGTAGAATAACAGTTCATTTGAAAAAATGTCAGTCATTAACCCCTATATAGAAGTGGCTGCTAGCTTAGTCAATATATAATTCTTTTGCAAAGCTAAGTAGTTATTTCAACACTATGGAAACACAACTGGTGCATGCTGCCACTTTGTCACTCTAGTAGGCGGTCTGACTAACATGACCAGGACCTTCTGGTCACCTCAACCACCTGTCGAGTTTATTATTTTTCATAGCTACCTCAAAGATTACATCCTGTATTCATTTATACACTGCTTAATTAGCCCATTTTCTTCTGTATTTAAAGATAAACCCCTTTCAACAATAACTCAACCGTGATAATAGATTATTGTAATATTATTCAGCTATTTTCTAAGTACTCTTTGCTAAGTACTTGGTATTTAGAATGGTGTTATGTGCTATATAGCTGTTGGTAATTATTTTGTGCTTTACTATTGACAAAATGACTTTTATGCGGTTACTTTTATTGCAGTTTCAGATTTTTTTTATTATTCTTTTTAAATGAAAATTTTTAATAAAAGTTCTGAAGATCATAGAAACATTTTAAAAATGTTCATGAATATTGAAAAAAAGGAATACTTTATCATAGTATCCAGTACTAAAATTTCCAATTCAGAAGCATCGATTTTAAATAACTAGTCTGCACGATCTCCTTTCTATTCAGTAGATGAATGTTGACACCCTTAAAAAAACATTGAGTAGAATTTCCAAAAAAATTCCAATGAAAACATTCATATAACATCTTTTCAAATATCATCGAATTGAAGTGAAAAAAGTTTTTCAACCAAACGAAAATCATTTTAGATAAAAACTTCATGCATTTTGCCTGAATCTCTTTCGCAGCGCAAAATCAAAAGCAGTGTATCAATAAAAAAAAATATCGTGTAAAAAAATAGACAGTTAACATTCATTTAAACAGGAGATTGACATGAACCTAGGCATCCCATCATGTAGAAAAATCTCATTGTATATAGTCATGGACATGATGTAAGCCAAGACAAGTGATATGGGTCAGTACCAGTTAACACACATGAGAGCATTTTTTTTATCCTGGACATTTTTATCGCGTCACTTTACTTCCGTACTTGTTCCTTGTTGCGCATAATTGATTTTAGTGTCCGCCTGTCCATCAATATTCATTTGTTTCCTGGCTCATACATTTATGTCACTATCTCGTGTTGTAGAAAATGTGCTATGTGGATATCAATAATATTGCGTACACTGTAATTGTCCGATATCGTGTGCATAAAAAAAAATAACTATTCATTGATTATCAGTGTTAAATTTTCTTTTATGATTTCTACGTTTATCATTAATCAAACCAAAATGATGTAAGTTAATTAAATTGAAATTTTTTTTCAATATGTGAGCTCGTGAATTAATTTACCCTTCACATTTTTTTCAATGAAATTCAATCACAAACCTTTTAAATAATTTAAAGATTTTCATATGAATTTTACAATTTGAATAAAAAAATTCATTAAGTATTGATTACATTTTAAATCGCTATTCATGAATTAAAGAAAAGCTGATTAATGAAATCCTTCATTATTTATGTGGATTTATAATTGGAATAAATTGTCAAGTATGAATTATTTGAATATTTACAAAAATTTGCATTAAATAATTATTAATTATTATTTGTTGAAGCTTTCAATGCTTTCAGAAAATATTTAATACTAAAAACGAATGCTACGAACAATAGTCTTTTGAATTGGAATGATATTAATACATTAAATAAATACCTTTAATTAATAATTATTGCTAGAATTATTTCATACATATTTATTTGAAAAAATTCGATGCTTAATCAAATAAGTAATTAATATTATTTTATTAGCTGTTAAAAATAAAGTAAAAAAAATTGTCAGCTAAGAAAAACTTACGTTGTAAATTGTATCATGAAATAGATAAATGTTTAAGGGAGTGAGATAAATATGAACGCGACGTAATTACTAATGTAGTGGTTGTAGAGTACTAGAAATAGAAGAGCAAAGAAGTTAAGGAGAGTAATCTGCATATAAAATGTAAAAGCATTAGTTATATATAAAAAACACTTTCAATGTTTAAAACGGAATAAAAATCTGAAATAGTATTTTTGAACTTTTGGGTATGTTTCTTAAATTCACCAGCAATTAAACTGTTTCTTTAGATACCTGATAATAGCAAGGAGTTGATGAGTATCTCTTCAATGAAATCTACTATGATCTATGCAATCAATGTTTGATTGTTAATTAATCCAAATTTAGATTGACGAATGATGATGTAGAGAGTGGAGCACAATAACTGATAAGTAATAATATAGACAATTGAAATAGAAATTCGATTATTAAATTTACATTCTTCAAGTGTTTAAAAAACTGCATAAAAAATCTTAACCTTCCATCTGCTCTAATATCCTCTTTCCGGTAATTTTTTCTGTTGCGTGGAATTAATAAAATCTAAATGTTACATTCACCTGTTCTGCACTGGTCTGGAATTATTAACGCATAAAAAAATCGATATAGATTGTTTAAAATTTTAGATCAAGCTAAAAATTGAAGCATACATTCTTCAGATGTCTTCATTTCCTTCAAAATGCTCGGAGTTTGCTTTGGAATCTATCATTCCAAGCTTATATCAATTTTCCGCGATCTATTTAAATATAAGATATATCCTTATATCTTACAAACTAAATGTTTAAAATAAAATTCATTATAGAGTAAATTATTTATGGTATTTCAAACCCTGAAAAATTTTATTCCATCATTAAAAGATGAATTTTATCTTAAAGTTTCACCAAAGTTGACTATAATTATTTCTAGCTGATAAGTTCAACTATAATTATAGCCAATGAATGAATCGCCTCCACATTTTTCCATCCTTCAAATTAAATTTCTACTCAAGTATTCCTAACTATCCTACTTTCGTAGTTCCCTCGTGACATGACCCGCGCAAAAATTTGTCCGATTAACCTTGGGTACTTCAGCATGATATATATTATCTATAGGCATTAAAATTTGTAACTAATCAATTCCACAAATATTTCCGATGAACTATTATCTAGGCCACAAATATTACCAGCTAAGTTATAATTAACTATTGGTGTGACGACAGGTTAAGCCATGTAGAGATATGACGAATCGATTAGAGCTAACATATACATTCTATTGTAGAATCATTTGAAATCATATCTAAAAATATTTATCGTTATAGTCCTATTAAATATCACTGATTACGCTCTTATTCATCAATTATTATTACCTGATGGCTTGATATTTATTGTCCGTACACATAACGGCTCTAATAAGTGATAATTAATTATCATTAATGAAAATGGTGAGATGATAGGAGCTTAAAATTTTCAATGTAATGAAATTGATTACCTCATCTTATTCTGGTTGATAATTCATGAATGATAAATCATAGAAATTAAGAGTTATTATAATCTGTTGTTGTAATAGCTTGTGACACATTGAAAAGATGAAATAGGAAGGATAAAGCACTGTAAACATGTTGGAAATTGAAATATTTTTTTATCTTGAGATATACATCATGCTACATGCAATTCAGTGGTAGTTATTTGTTTAACGGAGATCATGGAGTAAAAAATCATATAGCTGTAGATACAAATCCTGTTCCTGTTATTTTTATTCTTCATTAATGCAATCTAGAGTTAATAATCAGTCATTTAAAAAATAAACATGACTCCTGGGATTAATTATTTAATTAAAAGCAATGTTTTGTCGTTTATTCATCGCTTACAGTAAATACTGTGGTTTTTAATTCATATTTTTTTTTCTTTCAGATTCATTCTATATATTTATTGTCAAAAAGTTTATGAGTATGGTTTTGATATTATTTTACATGGATTTTTGAGAGTGTTAAGATAGCAAGATTTATCATATTGAAATATAAAATTTGTTTTTTAAATTTCTTTTCACGTCAATATTTCAATAAAAAATTTAATATTAAAGTTTCAAACCCAATATTATTTTCAACTAAATCGGAAGTATAGCTCCATTCCCCAGAGGTAGACTTTTCACCACCCATATCATTTTAACTGCAGACAAAATTTCGAAATTTTTTGTTCATTGATCATAGAATATGGAATAAAAGTGGCATTAAAAGGCCGATTGAAATTTTTGGGCGACAAATATGTAAATGGAATACAGACGATAAAGGACCAACGATTGAACTGTAAAAAAATTTCTGCTACGATAGTGATCAGCCACAAAAAAAGATTAAATAATTTATTAAATGCATCTATTATATATAATTCATAAGCAGAGACTTTGATCGATGTACATGGTGTACAGACTATATTCTTTTGCTCTTGATGAAAATCTTTTATCAATTAAAAATCTCTTGAAATATCTAGAAAAAACTTGTTTCCATGTGGACGAGCAATGTCTTTCTGTTGCTTTTGAAACAGACTCTAATGTTTGATCTATTAAAGTAACAAAATATGCATTACATAAAGTGATGGTTACTTTTTATAATTTAATTTAAAGCAATTTAGA